GCAGCAGGTCCAGGGGCCGAGTCCTGCCCTCGGGTCACGAAAACCTTCCAAGACGCTAAAGGCTTGGGGAGGAGTCATTGGAAAGCTGCCTGGTGGAAAAGGACCTGGGAGTGCTGCTGGACAGCCCACAGAAGAGGAGCCAGCGGTGTGCCCAGGTGCTCAAGATGGGCAATGACATCCTGATTGTTCCCCTGACACTTGGCACTGGTGAGGCTGCACCTCAAATCTTGTGCTCAGTTTTGGGCCCCTCACTACGAGAATGACGTTGAGGTGCTGGTGCAGGTCCAGAGAAGGACAACAAAGTTGATGAAGGGTCTAGAGCACAAGCCCGATGAGAAGCGGCTGAGGGAACTAGGATTGTTTCATCTAGAAAAAAGGAGGCTGAGGGGAGACCTTATTTCTCTCTACAACCACCTGAAAGAAGGTTGCACTGATGTGAGGTTGGTTTCTTCTCCCAAGTAACAAGTGACAGGACAAGGGGAAATGGCCTCAAATTTTAACAGGGGAGGTTTAGATTGGATATTAGAAAACATTTCTTTACCAAAAGAGTGGTGAGGCATTGGAACAGGCTGCCCAAGGAAGCAGTAGAGTCACCACCACTGGAGATATCTAGAAGATGTGCAGATGAGGTGCTCAGGGACAAGGTTTTTAGTAGGACTTGAAAGGGTTGAGTTGACAGTTTGACTTGATGATCTTAGAGATCTTCTCCAACCTAAATGATTCTATGACTACCTCCAGCCAGAGTTCCCTGCACGTTCTCTGCTCTTCCTTGGCCTTACGATTGCTTACGAAGTAGAGCTCACACACCTGTGTCCAGGACATGTCTGTGTGTGTGAGTGTACACACACGCATTTGTTCCTGCCACTAACTCCCTAAACCATTTGATAACTTCAATTACATTCTAAAAAGACAAGTTGCTTCCCACAAGTGCTATGAAATTATGAAGCTGTACAATACACAGACACTATAAAAGTAGCATAGTGGTGACAAAGAGGTCATACCTCACTAGAGTGCAAACCACACACAGGAAG